CTGGTCTTAATGGTAGCTGCTTTGATAGCTCCCAATGTGTGGTTGATAATTATTTAAGGTAGAGTATTAATTTGTAATAGTTCGGAGCTTTTTTAAATTGAACTGTTAAATTAATTGGAAATGTTGCATTTGTTTAATCCTCTGCAATGGTTTCGGCTGGAAAAGCGTGGCGGCCTAATGGTCATGGCGCCCTAGACATCCTACAGGTGGGTAAATGGGTGGAGGCGAATTTAAAACGGGGAGAAACCATGTGATGGATTAGCATCCCATCTAGGAGGAAGGGAGAGTAGAAACGTTTCGTCGCTTAGGCTGTATGGGCTACTGGCCTGACGCAGACTTTTTTTAATTCTAATACGTCAATCTCCATGCACAGTGCCGGTAAGTGTTTTGTTTTGGGACCCTCAGAGAAAAATTCCGTATTAAATTATTTTAAGTTGTGAACTCACCATTAATTTTTAATCGTCAATATTCTTATTTATTGATTAATTTACTTTAATTTTCTTAAATTCATTATTTTTTGGTCATTCCGGGAATTCCGGGTGTTCCAAGTATTCCGGTTCCGGTTCCAAATTCTGGCGTTCCATATTTTCCAAGCTACCGACGATAGACAGTAGACAGTAGAAGATGGAATTTGGGACGGAACTCAAAATCTTCACGGAATCGGGTCAACGTCACATAGATCTTTCTTTACGTGGCGTTACGTTATGAAATTGAAAATTGTCGCGAGGGAGCTGAGATTAAAGTTAAGTTTTTGTTTTCCTTACCTTTTCCTTTGCCAACTGCAAACTTCTTTCTTTTTTTTTTTTTCTTTACCGATGAATTTTTGGATTTTGCGAAGTGACCTTTCCGTGGTTCACCTTTTCAGTATAATCCATCCTACTGTGAACAGCGTTAGCCCTTCGTCGCTCTGACGAAGGGCTAACGCTCGAAACGTCAGCTCTTTTATTCGTTAAGGTGGCCAACGACGCCAACGACTGTGGTGCTACCGACGCAGCACCACAGTTTCTTTAGAAACTTTTAGCGTCTACTGTGAACAGCTTTTCCCACCGTCTATCGCGGCAACATGAGGACAACGTATAACTGATTTTCTTTAAATTACAATGAAGAACATTTAAAAACACTTCGTCGGGATTTCAAGTTTTAGTCGCTGCCATTCCCAAAAGAGCTTCTCGGTTGATTCGAAGATAAAACAGTGGGCTTAACTACCTGACAACGGCCGAGACCTTTTGTAAAAAATCATTCCGCAATGCGTACATGTGTGGCTT